ACCCATACAACTGTCAACTGATTTCTCAAAAGAAACTTTACAGGCCAGAAAAGAGTGGCAAGAAATATTCAAAATGACTAGCAAGGACCTACGATCATGATTATTTTACCCAGCAAAGCTATCATTTAGAATTGAAGATCAGATAAAGAGCTTCACAGACAAGAAAAAGCTAAAGGAGTTCACCACTACCAAAATATTATTACATGAAAAGTTGAAGGGCATGCTTTAAGAAAAGGAAGAAAAAAAGATAAAATATGAGCAATAAAATGGCAACTGAATCTAAATCAAAATAAATGAAAAAGGTATATATTAAACAAAATAAACTAATAGAATCAGAGTGAGACTGACAAATCTCAGAGGGAAGGGGAAGGAGGACTGGGAAGAGATCAATCAAATATCTTAAATGCATATATGCATTACCTAAGGATACAGACAATAGGGTGGTGAAGGCCAATATATCCAATAAGAAGTTACTAGCCAAAATATGTAAGGAACTCATACAAGTAAACATAAAAACAAATCCAATTGAAAAATGGGCAGAGAACCTGAACAGACATTTCTCCAAAGACGTTATATAAAAAAAAAAAAATCAACATCACTGATCATCAGGAAAATGAAAATCAAAACCACAATAAGGTAACACCTTACACCTGTCAGAATGGCTATTATCAAAAAGAACACAAACAATACGTTGGCAAGGATGCAGAGAAAAAGGAACCCTTGTGCAGCCACTATGGAAAATAGCATGAGAGTCCTCAAAAAATTAAAAATAGAATTGCCATATGACCCAGCAATCCCACTACTGGGTATTTATCCTAAGAAATTGAAAACACTAGTTCAAAAAAATACATGCATCCCTGTGTTCACTTCAGCATTTATAACTAGTGACCCAGCATGAGGTATCACACACAGTAGGCTGCCCACAGCTTCCACAAGCTGTGCCACTTCCACGGAAGGTGGGAGGGAGCCACGCTTCAGGAGCCACCACTGCCGCTACCTGTGGGAGCTGGGGGAGGGGTAGGGCAGGATGATCTAGAAGTGCTCCATGCACGCACAGCCTGTTGAACAGTCGTTACTGTGTCATTACATAACAGACAATTTACATATTACTTCTTTATTTGTATAGATAGATAAGTATATATAGAAGCAACTTAGATGTCCAACAATATATGAATAAAGATGTGATATAGATATGATATATATATATGTGTTATATATATAAAATACATATCATATATACATATATGCAATATTATTCAGCCATAAAAAGAATGAGATCTTGCTAACAACAGCAACATTGATGGACCTATAGGATATAATGTGAAGTAAGTCATACAGAAAGATAAATATCATATGATTTCACTTAGATGTAGAATCTAAAAAACAATATAAACTAACAAAGCAAACTCCTAGATATGGAGAACAAACTGATGGTTGCCAGATGGGGGTGAAGAGATGGGCAAAAAAATATAGGATTAAGTATAAACTGCCAATTATTAAATTAGTCATGGGATGTAAAGTATACCATAGGAAATATATAGTCATTGATATGATAATAACTATATCTGATATCAAATGGGTACTAGACTTATGGTGATCACTTCGTAAGGCATATATATGTCTAATTACTATACTGTACACCTGAAGCTAATATAATACTGTATGTCAACTATATTTTTAAAATATTTTTTTGTTCTGGATAAAGGCATTGATGATGGTTATATATCATTGTGAATTTACTTAATGCCACTGAATTACACACTCAAAAATGGTTAACATGCATATATGCATTGTTGTGTATATTTTATCAGAATTAAAAAATGAAAACTGCCAAAACCAGTTGGGCTCAGTGGATAGAGCATCGGCCTGCGGACTCAAGGGTCCCAGGTTCGATTCCGGTCAAGGGCATGTACCTTGGTTGTGGGCACATCCCCAGTTGGGGGTGTGCAGGAGGCAGCTGGTTGATGTTTCTCTCTCATTGTTTCTAGCTCTCTATCACTCTCCCTTCCTCTCTGTAAAAAATCAATAAAATACTTATTTTTTTAAAAATGAAAACCTAATGCCCTAGCAGATTTGGCTCAGTGGATAGAGTAAATTGGTGCAGTCACTAAGTAAAATAGTGTGGCGGTACCTCAACAAATTAAAAATGGAGCTGAAACCGGTTTGGCTCAGTGGATAAAGCGTCAGTCTGCGGACTGAAGGGTCCCAGGTTTGATTCCGGTCAAGGGCATGTACATTGGTTGTGGGCACATCCCCAATAGGAGGTGTGCAGGAGGCTCAACTGATGGATGTTTCTCTCTCATCGGTGTTTCTAGCTCTCTATCTCTCTCCTTTCCTCTCTGTAAAAGATCAATAAAATATATTTTTTTAAAAAAGAAAAATATTACACAACAATGAAAATTACTCAACTATATCTACATGCATCAAATAGATGAATCTCAACAGTATTTTATGGAATATAACGAACAATATAAATTGATGAACAAAAACAGATCCAGAGACAGAAACATTGATCAGTCAGTCAAACCTCAGAGGGAAGATAGGGAAGGGTGGAGGTAAGGAGGAGAGATCAACCAAAGGACTTGTATGCATGTGTATAAGCCTAACCAATGGACACAGACAACAGGGGGGTGAGAGCATGAGTGGGGAGTTGGGGGGGGGGGGGTAATGGGGAATAAAGACACATATGTAATACCTTAATTAATAAAGAAATTTTTTAATATGTTTTATTGACTTTTTAGAGTAGGGGTGTCGAACTCAATCAGAGAAGGGGCCAAAATCTAAAATCCAGCCTAAATCGCGGGCCGAATGGTTTACTGAACAGTCATAAACTGTCATTGTGACGGAAACGCAGCGGAGTGCAGTGATGACAGCGCGGTGCGGGCCACATTGCAAGGCCTGGCGGGACGGATTTGGCCCGCGGGCCTTGTGTTTGACACGTGTTTTAGAGAGAGGAAGAGAGAGGGATAGAGAGTTAGAATCATCGATCAGCTGCCTCTTCGCACACCGCCTACCAGGGATGTGCCAAGGTACATGCCCTTGACCGGAGTTGAACCTGGGACCCTTCAGTCCGCAGACAGATGCTCTATCCACTGAGCCAAACCGGTTTCGGCTAAAGAAATTTTTTTTTAAAAACATGGAATATTTGCATTACACCATCCATGTTTGTATTAAGTAAAATTTTAAATTACTTTTCAAAAAATAAATAAAATACAGATTAATATTAATACAGATTAATACAGATAATCAGGAAAGTGTTTCAATTAATACAGATATCAGGAAAGTGTTTCCTTTGTCAAACAGGAATGCAATCAGGGAGAGGCACAACAGGAGTCAAAGGTATGAACAATGCTCTACTTATTAAGTTTGGTAAGTTGTGAATATTCACTTTAATATTTTAACTGTCCATATAGTGGATATACCCTCTTTTCTTGGAATCACATATCTTACAACTAAAAACAAGTTAAGGAAATCACACACACACACACACACACACACACACACACACACACACAGAGTAAATGAAATGCACAGGGTTGGCCCAAAGAAACTAGGAGTCTTTGAAAAAGACTAAAGTATTAATCCTTTCATAGCTTATAATATACTAGGTTAATAATGCAGATTTTTTCAATAGATAGTTACACATATGTTGATATATATTCAATTTGATATGTATGATAATTTGTATTGACAGCAAGTTTCAAAACATCTTAAGTCAAAGTTTCTGAAGATATTAACATCATAGATATTTTTACGCTTAAAAATGTCGAATTTCATGCCCAAAAAGAGCATCTGCAGCAAGTTTGGTTTGTTTTTTTTAATATATATTTCTTTATTGATTTCAGAAAGGGAGAGGGAGAGAGAAACATCAATGATGAGAATCATTGACTGGCTGCCTCCAGCACATCCCCTACTGGGGATCGAGCCCGCAATCCAGGTATGTGCCCATGACCGGAATCGAATCTGGGGCCCTTCAGTCTGCAGGTTAACGCTCTATCCACTGAGCCAAACCAACTAGGGCTGCAGCAAATTTTAATTCATTACTTTATTTTGAAGAAAAGTGCTGCTGAAAGTTAAAGTATACTTCAGGAAGCTTATGGTGAACATGCTTCAATTTAAGATACTTGTGAACAATGGTTTAAACGCTTTTGAAGTGTGAAAGACAAAGAACATTCAGGTCAACCAAAAAAGTTTGAAGACTAACAATTACAAGCATTATTGGATGAAGATGTGTCGAACACAAAAACAACTTGCAGAAAGATTAAATGTTGTTCAGCAAACAATTTTAAAGGAAGGAAAATGGGTGCCATATCAACCGAATGAAAGACAAATGGAAAACCGAAAAGTCATCAGTAAAATGTTATTTCAATGGCAGAAAAGAAAGTCTTTTTTGCATCGAATTGTGACTAGCGATGAAAAGTGGATTTATTTTGAGAATCCCAAACGCACAAAATCATGGGTTGATCAAGGTCAACCATCAACATCGACTGCAAGGCCAAATCACTTCGGAAAGAAGACAATGCTCTGCGTTTGGTGGGATCAGGAAGGTGTGGTGTATTATGAGCTTCTAAAACCAGGTGAGAAACTGTTAATACTGATACCTACCAACAACAAATAATCAATTTGAACCACTCTGATTGTAAAATGACCAGAATGGACCAGAAGACACGGCAAAGTAATTTTGCTTCATGATGACATACCATCACACACTTCAAAACCAGTTAAAGACACATTAAAACATCTTGCCTGGGAAGTATTAACCCATCCGCCATATTCACCAGACCTTGCTCCTTTAGATTACCACTTGTTCCAATTGATGGCACAAGCACTTTCTGTGCAGCACTTCAAAACATACGAAGTGGAAACTTGGGTCTCTGAATGGTTTGCCTCAAAACAAGTAAAGTTCTATTGGGATGGTATCCACAAATTAACTGAAAGATGGGGGAAATGTGTAGCTAGCGGTGGACATTACTTTGAACAAAGCACTGTTTTTTTTTAATCAATACGAAAGTTTATTTAACAAAAATTCAATGTGAAAATGGACAAGATTCTATTTTTATATTGTAGCAAAACAGGTGCTGTGGAGAGGGGACGTGTGGAAGCAGTTGATTTCTCTGGTAACTACAGCCATTCCTTCCAAGGCTTCTAACATCATGATACTATTTCCTTGTATAACCACCATTCCAATATTGTTCTGTTGTCCACCAGTTGCCATCTCCACACATTCATTTATCACAAGATTCATAAAGTGATCAAATTCCTGCAATATTCCTTGGACTTGTCTGCCACCATTTAATTTCAATGATAACTTCTTGTCCATAAATTTTTTTTAACTTGGGAGGGTGAGCTTTTGCTCATGGTGTCCAAGCAAGCTCAAATATACTTCCAAAAGGAATTCATGGCCTCTCTGGCGCTCCTGAGGTAGGCCTGGCATTTTTTTTACAGAGAGGAAGGGAGAGGGATAGAGTTAGAAACGTGGATAAGAAATAAACATTGATTCAGCTGCCTCCTATACACTCCCTACTGGGGGTGTGCCCACAACCAAGGTACATGCCCTTGACCAGAATCGAACCGAGGACCCTTCAGACCTCAGGCTGACGCTCTATCCACTGAGCCAAACCAGTTAGGGCTGAATAAAGCACTTTTGATGTTTCTCTTGAAATTAACATGTGTTCTTTGAATACAAAATTCGAATTAACTGTAACACCTGGTATGACTATTTGCTCAAATAATACAAACATACTTTGACATATATTATCCATAAATCAAAGAAGACCAAAGGATGGTATATGTTTAGAAGAGAAAGCACAGAGATTATCCCAAAAAATCAGTTAGCAAAAGCAGTTAAACATAATTATTAGTCATGTGTTACCAAATAAGATGTAAAAAACTTCTAGAAAATCTAAGTAAAATGAAACTTTCCTGAACTGAGATACAACTCATCAAAATATTTCCATCTAACTTTAAAGATATGAAGAATATCCTCCTTTTTTCCCCCAAAAGAGAGGACATATGTAATACTTTCAACAATAAAGAAATATTTTTTTCAAAAAAAAAAAATGCCTGGCCTGCTTGGCTCAGGGATTGAGCATTGACTATGAACCAGGAGGTCACAGTTGATTTCCAATCAAGGCATATGTCTGGGTTGCAGGCTCAGTCCGCAGTAGAGGGTGTGCAGGAGGCAGCCGATCTATGATTCTCTCTCATCCTTGATGTTTCTGTCTCCCTCTCCCTTTCTCTCTCTAAAAATCAATAAAAATATTTAATAAATAAATAAAATTTAAAAGAGAAAAATATTATAAAAACAAACAGAATAAAATAAGAACAAGGGGTTTAAAACATACACATACAATAGCAGAAACTAATAAACCTCCAAAAAGATCCAACCATGAAGGAATACAGTAAACCCTCAATTTTGCAGAGCTTAATTTAATAGACATCAAATTTAACGAACAAATATTCTTGTTTTATGTCATATGTGAAAATTAACACCCCATTAATTTTAAAATGCTTTTAAGCAAGATTTGCTTATAATTAAATTAACAAATTATTTTTTAAACGCATTTTAGTGAATAGTCCCTATGTTGGAAAAAAAAACACTAATTTCATTGACCTAAAAAAATTTCATATCTAGAACTATAATCATTATATTTAAATCCAAGATTCAACACTTGTAAACAATGTTTGGGGAATGATTAGCACATGACCATACAGCATTTTCAGTGGTAATTGGTGGAGTGACTTTCTGCAGCAGTTCCAGCCATGCCCTACCCACCCATGTGTATTTGTTTACTCTCAGTGACAGGTGATTGTATTCATTTACTAGCTCTATCAGTATAAATTTAAAATTACTGTAATGAAATTAAACTTTCATACATACTTAATTTTAATTATACATAAGTAAAATCAGGTAAATTAATTTGTCAATTTTTTAGCATAATATTCGGAAAAACCTCTTATTATATAATAGACTTGGCTTTTAACGGACATCCCCCCTCACCCAAATTAGTCCATTATAGTGAGATATTACATACATATACATACATACATACACACACACACACACACACACACACACACACACATATATATAATTGATTTCAGAGAGGAAAGGAAAAAGAGATAGAAACATCAATGATGAGAATCATTAATTGGCTGCCTCCAGCACACCACAGGGAATAGAACTCACCAACCAGGTATGTTCCTTGACTGGGAATCGAAAATTGATCTCCTGGTTCATAGGTCACCGCTCAACCACTGAGCCATGCCAGTCAGGTTATATTGAGATTTTACTATAATATCCATAGAGCTGATATATTATATTTCCTATTTTCATTTTTACCCTAATCTAAAATATCAAGACGAAGATAGTCACATATACATGTGTCTTAACACTTCTGGTTACTCTCTTGAATGTTATAGCATAGCACTTAAAAGAGTATCATCTCTGGAGAACAGCATGTAAAAAAATATTTTGGGGTTCTTAGTTTACTCAGAGTTATGTAGAAGATGGAGTAGGGGAAGTGAAAACAGAGCAGTAGGGACGAGGTACTGGGAAAAGAACAGTTTACATCACATTAGGGTAGCTTTAGTTTCTACTGGCTCTAGATAAATCCCACCAAAAATTTCTAACCCTATTGAATAACTACAGAACTAGAATTTTTAGTGTTGGGGGTGAGGGTGGGAGGTGTTTATCCAGCCATATACTATGCAAAAATTAAATTCGTAAGTGGACATAACATACTTTTAGTGAAAATACCGTGGACAAGAAAAAGACATCTTCCCTTCACTAATAGTTAAGAGACACTCCAGTATATCTGGAAACAATAATCATATTTGCTTTGTAGAAGAAAATTTTGAAACAGAAAAGGGAGTTCACTATATGTGTAATATGCTATCTTTTTGTAAAAAAGAAAAACAAAAGTCTATTACATAATAGACTTTTATATAAGCATGTTCATACATAGAGAAGCCAGTAAAATAAATTTTTAAAAAAATTACAATGGGAAATTTGAAAACAAAACTGGGGAAATAACAGAGATTTAGGAGGAAGAACTTCCACTGTGTATTTTGAACTGTATCATCTTATCAAAAATTAAATAAGTAATTTAAACTGCTGCAATAATCTAGACCAAAAATAAATAAATAAATAAGGCTAGAGAAGTAGATAAATTACATTTAAGATGCCTGTGATACCTAAATAGTAGTAGATAACCAGGAGGCAACTGCAAATATAGATCTGCAGACTAGAAAAAAGTTATTCAGGTGATACAGATGCCTAGAGGCATATATAAGCATACCTAAGTTTACCTCAAGTGAAGTAATCAAATAAACAGGCCAGAAAAGTAATCATGTAAGTTCAGCTCTTAAAGAAATAATGAATACTAAATGGGAATCCAAAAAAGCAATATTTAAAGATACCAGAGAAGAAAGCAGCTTCTCAGAAATCTTGAGAGACTCTTGCAAGAAAGATCAACTGATCAGTTTTAAATGCTGAAAGTAGATCAAGTAGAATAAAAACTGAAAGAAAATTTTAGACATAACCATTTAAAGTTAACAAAATCAATCGAATGTTGGACTTATGAGACAAATATAACGGTTTGAAGAGTGAATGAACAGGAAGGAGTCTGTGGTATTTTATGAAAATTTATTACATTAGTTTTTTTAGAAAAGGATTTGAGGTAGCCTACAAATAAGGGACCAATTTTATAATAATAAAAAAATAGAAAAATGAACTTTGAAAGCCAATATGAGGGACATCCCCTGATTTAGGGAAACTCTCTTACCCCTGACTCCAACTATGTAGTTCTAGTGAGGGTTGTCATTCATAGTACCCTCCCCACTCCAGCCACAGGGATGTTGAGTACATGATCCAAGACAGGCCAATCAGAGTCCTTCCCAGGATTCTTCAAGAGAGCCCCTTCTTCTGGTTGAAGGGGCTAGGAAGATGAGAGCCAAGAGCTGCCAGCAGTCATCGTTCCCGCCTCATGAGGTAGAGAGTCTGTAGTATGAGAGAATGAAATCAACACGCAAAGAAACAGAGATAAGAGGTGAAGTTCTAAACCCCACAAGAGGAAGATGAGGAGGGAACAACTATACTAATAATCAGATAAATAAAACTGATGTAACTAAAGACCTGATTTGGTTCTAAGCTGCCTGGTAACCAAAACAAAAGGAAAAACAGAATGTGTGTCACAGAGCTATCAAAAAGAAGGAAATACATCAGATCCTCAAGGGAGACAATATTCTTTATGCTAAATTATTAAAAGAAATTCTTGTACATGGATCTTTATATAATGCTCACTGAAAGATAAAAGGTCCCTGATGAGAGTGTTTAGCAATTGCAGACTTCATATGCTATTGTTTAAAATGAAAATTAAGCCTGGCCAGGAGCTTAGTTTTATGGGCTCAATGGTTGAACAACGACCTATGAATCAGGAAATTACAGTTGATTCTTGGTCAGGGCACATGCCCAAGTTTCAGACTGGATCTCCAGTATGGAACCAGGAAGCATCCAATCAATGATTCTCTCTCATCACTGATGTTTCTCTTTTCCCTTCTCTCCCCCTCTCCCTTCCTCTCTGAAATCTATAAAAATCTATTTTAAAAATAAAATAAAATGAAAACTAAGTTATATCTCCATCATTAAGCACAACTACAGTTAAGACTATAAAAAGAAGTTGAAGAAGTAAAGATAGCAAATGGTGTTATTCTTCCAGAAGTTTGCTAGTGAACAAAGAAAGACAGAAAGGTGAAAAACATGAAGGGAAAGTAGAATCCATAGGAAGATTCAAAAATGTTTGTGAGCTGACTGGGGAGAAAGTAAAAATGACAGACCAAAAAATAAAACAAGTCCTTGAAAGAAATGGGAAAAGACAACATCACTGCTATAGGTACTAGCATTTAATTCTACTTAAAAACTACCTTCTCTCCTTCCTAATAACCCACTAAAATATATAAAAAGGGCATAAAACCACATAAACAAAAAGAACAAAAGGGAAGACAACTATAAAGTTTTGCAAGCTAAGAAGGAGACAAGTATAGTAAATGACTTATCAGATCAGAAAAAGTTGCTGCAATAAGACAAGCCCAAAGGCAATATATCTTGGACCACAGAGCATGTGAAACTGAACTTTAGGCACCAGGCATCCTGGGGCAGGGAGTTGTACAATCGTAGTGATGGTGTATGTACCTGGGAGGGGTGGGTTCACGTAAGGCTAAAAACAGAGAGAAATGGGTATAAACTGAAAAATAATCACATACCTCCCTCCCAATCTCCTTCTACACTCCACATTACCTGTCTCTTGCCCATACTAAAAAGAGTAAAGGAGGAAATCTGGAGTTGGAGACACCAGGCACAGCTAAGAAAAGGGATATCATACTGAAAAAGTAACTAAGAACCTAATTCTAAATAGTGAAAGTACAACAACT